GTTTATAATATGCTTTTATGTATGTGATATACGAGGTGTGATCAAAAAGTAAGGTGAATTTTGAAATTTAGCGGGCTACGTCCGTTCGATCTTCGACTTTTTTATTTGGTTATGTCGGTACACTCGTCTAGAACATACGTTCCAAATTTCAGCTTTGTAGTATGTTTGGTTTGTTTGTGAGAGGCAGCAAGGTTAGAAGTGTTTTGCGTGCTCCACGATTTGCTGCTGTCTAAAAACATGGATCAAAGAGTTTGCATTAAATTTTGTGTTAAAAATGGAATCAAATGTTCCAAAACACTTGAAATGCTGAAAGTGGCATACGGTGAGTCTACTTTAAGCCAAAAAAATGTTTACAAGTGGTATAAACTCTTCCAAGAAGGCCGAGAAGACACCGACGACGAACCTCGTTCTGGACGCCCCAGCACATCAACAACTGATGAGAATGTTGAAGAAGTGAAGAAAATAGTGTTGGGAAATCGTCGAATTACCATTAGAAAAATTGCTGATGATATTGACATCTCATTTAGTTCGTGCCAATCAATTTTGACGAGTGTTTTAGACATAAGACATGTGTCAGCAAAGATTGTTCCGAAATTGCTCAATTTCGACCAAAAGTAACGTCGCATGAGCATCGCCCAAGAGTTACTGAATGACGTCAACGATGATCCAGATTTACTCAACAGGGTTATAACAGGTGACGAAACATGGATATACGGTTATGACGTCGAGACTAAGACTCAATCGTTCCAGTGGAGGCATTCTGGATCACCAAGACCAAAAAAAGCACGCCAAGTTCGATCAAATGTAAAGGTTTTGCTTACAGTTTTCTTTGACTGCAGGGGCGTGGTGCATCATGAGTTCTTGCCACAGGGTAGAACAGTTAATAAGGAATATTACCTGCAAGTTATGCGCAATTTGCGCGAAGCAATCCGCCAGAAACGTCCGAATTTGTGGAAAAATAAAAATTGGCTTTTGCACCATGATAACGCCCCTGCTCACACATCGTTGCTTGTGCGCGAATTTTTGGCTAAAACCAACACAGTAACGATGCCACAGGCACCGTATTCCCCAGATCTGGCCCCCTGTGACTTCTTCTTGTTCCCAAAACTGAAGAGGCCCATGAAAGGACGGCGTTTTGCCACGATTGAGGAGATAAACACGGCATCGAAGGATGAACTAAACAAGATCACAAAAAATGATTTTTTGAAATGCTTTGAGGATTGGAAAAAGCGTTGGCACAAGTGCATTATATCCGAGGGGGATTACTTTGAAGGAGATAAAATAAAAATTGATGAATAAATAAATATTTTTTGAGAAAAATAAAAATTCACCGTACTTTTTGATCACACCTCGTATGTATGTAATAAATAAAACCTTTTCTTTTATTTTTACTATATTTCAACGTTATTTAATATAACTTTACCTCATTTTTATGATCTTATCTTTTAATATGAGGGGGGGGGGTCAATAAGTCTTTACGAAATCCAATAGATGGCGCTCGTCACGCTTAAATTATGATGTTTTTGGCAAGCAATACTACTAACAAGATATCGTAAAAAGTTTCAGCTCGATTCATTAAGTAGTTTTTTTCTGAGCGTTGGTTGAACAAAAAGTTATTGGTTTATTTGAAAAATGGAAAAAACAGAGTTTCAAATGGTGATAAAACATTTTCATTTGAAAGGCTTTACACCAAAAGAAATCGCAGTTGAGTTGAACGCCGTTCATGGCAAGTCTGCCCCTGTGTTTAAGACTGTTTATAACTGGGTAAATGAATTTAAACGCGGTCGTACAACAACAAAACATGAACCTCGTTCAGGACGCCCCATAGAAGTGAGTACGCGCGAAATGGTCAACAAAATCCACGATATGGTGTTGAGTGATAGAAGATTAAAATTGCGAGAATTAGTTGAGGCCACAGGGCTATCAAAGGGTACAATCATTTCAATTTTGTATGAAAAATTGGGAATGAAAAAAATAGCAGCAAGATGGGTGCCGCGTTTGCTCACTGTTGAAAACAAACGAACCCGCGTGGTCACCTCTGAGGCTCTTTTGGCACGCATACGTCGTAATCCGGAAGACTTTTGGCGTCGACTCGTATTGTAGACGAAACATGGGTACACCACTACACTCCTGAAACCAAAGAACAGTCCAAACAATGGATTACCGCAGGAGAACCAGCCCCCAAGAAGGCAAAGACAGTAAAGTCAGCTGGCAAGATTATGGCCTTGGTTTTATGGGATGCGTATGGAATCATCTACATCAACTGCTTGGAAAGAGGCCAGACGAACACTGGATAATATTATACGTCATTACTAGGTCAGCTAAAAGAAAAAATCAGAGAAAAACGTCCTCACTTGAACAAAAATAATGCCTCTTTCTTCAAGACATGGACCATCCACCATATTCGCCTGATTTGGCTCCTGGTGACTTTTTCTTATTTCCTAACCTCTAAAAATAGCTTGCCGGACAACGATTAATGTCGAATGAAAATGTCATCGCCGAAACAAATGCCTATTTTGAGAGTTTTCAGAAATCATATTTTTCTGATGGCTTAAAAAGACTGGAAGGCCGTTTGATAAAATATATCGGCCTTCAAGGAGATTACGTTGAAAAATAAAAAAAAATTACATACGCAAAACTTTTTTTTCCTTCTTTTTGTAAAGACTTATTGACCTCCCTTGTATTTACTTGCTTTTATAATAATGTTACTTAATTTATAGTACATATTTCCATAAAAAAACTAGAATTTCTCTGTTCTTTATCAAAGAACATAATACAAAAAGCATAATGACATTATATAAATTAAATAGACCATTATCAAATCATCAAATAAAAGCACTATTTAAATGGAATATATTTTTCTTATTATATCATTACTGTTAATATAATCTATTATTATTTTATATAAATAATAGTAGTAGCTTTCTTAGTCCTGTATAACTAATTATCCTTTTATGATAGTATGTATAAATAATTATCCTTTTATGATAGTATATACACATAAATGATTGTAGCCTATCCTTTTATTTTGTACTTTTATATCATCTTTATGATATTGATCTATTTGACGTTTTCTTTAATATAACAAAAGCTTTAGCTAAGTCTAAATAAGAAACAACCTTTTTTTTCATTTTCGTCTATTTCTTTGAATATTTAATTAATTATATAAGATAAAGCATTTTTTCTTTTAACTTTTTTCTAAAAGGAAACTATTTTTTAAGTATAAAAAATTATATATTCTCACATGTGTAATTTTTTCAACAATTGCTCTTGAATTTTTCACAAATAATACATGTGAGAAAATATGTTTAAAATTAATGATATATGTATATTTTAGGTTAATATTTTACTGGTAATGATTTTGATTATTGGTATATGTATACTTGTGTACAATTAATCAAGCTTAAATATAATATTTTTTATTTGCTCAATGTATAGCCTTCACGGCCTTTTACATAATGTTCCACTTTTACATCTATACTTACAACTAATACTTAACACTACGTCTGCTACTTCTATAATAATATAATGTTATTGTTATAATCTCAACATTCGCGCTCGCATACTTTCCCTCTCTCCTACCCTCCCTTTCAAAAGCTCGCTTCTACTCTTACTCAGGATACCCCTCATCCCCCCTCGATTTGGCCAACTTCTCGAACATGTAAATATAGTTGCATATTGCTCTATTCGGGCTTCCCTTTAGAGCTCTAATTAGTTTATTCTCTTTCTCTTCTCTCCTGCCAGTAATTTTCTAATTTTCTAACTCCCTCACCCATCTTCCCCCTATTTCCTCTTTTGCCTTACTACATCAATCATATGATCTAGGTTTTCTTCCTTTTCTCCGCAGATTCTACACTTACTATCTTTATATCCTTTCGCCTGCTCTCTGCCTACATTCCCACACCTTATTCTCGCCCATTGCTCTTTTACTCCCCCTGGAACCTTCCTCTCTTCCCAATACGCGTCTTCTCCCACCGTCTCTTTTAATTTTCTGTAAAGCCCGTTGTATTTTGACTCATCTATTTTACCCCACAAGCTTTGAAGTTCCTGCTCTGCTATTCTTTCCAGCCCCCTCTCTATTTTACCTTTTACTTCTTCTGTCTCTCTTTTGTCCCATATCATTTTTAAAATTTCCCCATCCCCTACTCCTTCTAAACACCTCTGTACTCTCCTTCCCCACTTCGTCGGATTTTTATTTAGTATGCTTCTCACTTCCTCTCTCAGACATATTTTTGGCCATCTTCCTTCCTCCATTTGTACTATCTCTTCCAAGTATCCCATTGCTCTCCTTGCTGTCTGTAATTCCATCGACGTTCTTCCTGCTTCCATGGCTCCAATATAATTTGGTGTGTTACTATTTAATCCCATAGCCATTTTTAAAAATTTCCTCTGTACCCTCTCAAGATTTTCCCATTTTTGCCACCCCCAGATCTCTACCCCATATAAACACCCCGCTTTTATTAAGCTGTCAAAAAGATAAAGCCTTTTTTTTAGGTTTTCAATTTTTGCTCTTTTTACGATTCCCCATGTCGCGTTGATTGCTCTAGTTACTTTCCCTGTTATTTTGTTTATATGTGTTGAATTCCCGTTTTTCTGCGTAAACCAGTACCCCAGATATTTAAATTCTTTAACTACCTCCACTTTTTTGCCCTTGTAAGTAAATTCCCTCTCCCTACCTAATCTTCCTTCACTGCAAATCATCAACTTGATTTTCTCTGTGTTAACCTCCATCCCTATCTCGTTACTGAAAATCTCCGTTTTCTTCAACATTTCCCTCAGTCCCTCCTCGTTATCTGTCAATATCACTATGTCTTCCGCGAACTTTAAACAGTAGAATTCCCCCCCCCCCCCCACTACCGTTCCACCTACTTTTTTCTCTTCCCAGATATTGTCTATATCGTCAATAAATAAACAAAATAGGCTAGGGCTCAGGGGGGCATCCCTGCCTAACCCCTTGGGACGTCTCGAAGCGCTCTGATAGTCCCTCTTTAGCTATTACCTCATTCAAAGTATTTTTGTATATCTTTTTTATCATCTGCAGCATTTTTCCTCTTATCCCATTCTTTTGTATTTTTTCTATCATTTTTGCTCTGTTTATTCTGTCGAACGCGGTTTTGAAATCTATAAAACCTAGATATAATTTCCCCCCCTTCTGCTTTAGCTTATTGCCTATAATCGCGTTCATTACAAAGATATGCTCTCTCATCCCCCTTTTCCCTCTGAATCCTGATTGGCTTTCCGTATATATATTTTTATTCTCTGCCCACTCCCTAATTCTTCCTGCCATAATTTTTGTTAATATTTTGTAGCTCACGTCAAGAAGTGACACCCCTCTGTAGTTTTTAGTCTCTTCCTCGTTTCCACTTTTGAATATCGGATATATTCGCGCTATCTCCCAACCTTTTAAAATTTCGCTCCTGTCCCATAGTTCATTAAAAATTTCTATTATTGTTTCTGTCCAACTACCGCTGTTCTTTTTTAATGGTTTCCCCCCTTCTGATCCTCGTCGGTCTTTCTTTATTCACTACCTTCCAAAATTCCCCCATGTCCCTGCATGCTGCCATAGTTTCGATTTTTTCCTCGTTTGTCTTTCTTATCTTTCTTCCTATCATCTCTTTCAATTTGATCTTCTCGCTTCTCCACCCCGCCCTCTTCTCCTCTGTTCTTTCTTCTCTCCACTTATCCAAACATTTCCAAACTTTCTTTTTCTGTTCCCCTATTTCGCTTTTTTTGTTTCTGTTCGCCCTCCCTCCCCCTCCGTTTCATTTCAATTTTAATTCCTCGGCTGTTGTTTTTATATTCTCTACCAATAAGTTCCATTTATCCTGTGCTGTTTTCCCCTTAAGCTCTTCTGCCCTCCATTTTTTCCCCATCAAATCCTCATATTCTTCTACTTTTTCTTTCCTCCATATGAATCTTTCTGTGACTTTTTCTGTCCTTCCCTCCCTTTCCCCCTCCCTTTGGTCTTCTTTCCCTATCTCGAAAATTACTGGCAGGTGATCTGATTCTATCCTTGTTACTATTTCCATCCTCGTTACTAGTTCTGTTAATTCTGTTCCCCCTTCCACCACCAAATCGAGGACCGATGAGCCCGCATCCTCAATAAAAGTAGATCTCCCCCCTTTATTCCCCTCCGTGCATCCGTTTTTTATCTCCGCATTACATTATCTCAAGTTTTCTAGTAATTTTGTTCCCTCTCTGTTCACTTTTCTATCTTCCGAATTTCTCGTTTTACCCTTACTTATTTGCTCGTTCCCCACCCTTACATCCCCTGCTATAATGAATTTTTTCTTGTCAAATAAACTCACCTCTATCAATTCTTTCAGCTTCTTAATCATTTTGTTAATTTTCGCGTGATTATAAATCGTTATTACATCAATTTTTTCTTTACCTAACGGAATATTTCTTATTACTACCCCGCATTCCCATTCCTTAAACTCCGCGTTTTTGCCTAGCTCCTTCTTAATCTTCACCAAAACCCCCCGCTAGCCCGGCCTCTCGTTTTTACCCTAACGGCTGCTTTCATTTCCCATCTATACTTTTTGTTCAATTTTTTGATTAAATTTTGTTCTTTACTTCCTTCTACCCACGTTTCCTGTAACAAAATAATATCGAATTTACTCAGAAAGTCTCTGCACTTTAATATATTTTTGCTCCCTGCTATATTCCACGCTACGCACTTACAACCTACCCCTCGTTGCTCGCTGGTCTCTTCGTCCGCCGTTGGTCCACTCGCTGGTCCCTCCTTCTCCTTGCCATCTTCCTGTGCTGCCAAACTACCGGTTTCCTCTTCTGAAATCGTTGCTTCTACTCGTTCTGTTCTCTGCCGTGGTACTGCTCCCTGTTTCCCTGCTGTGGCCTCCCTCTCCTCTCCAGTTGCTCCTCTCCCTCTCTCCTGATCGGAAAAAACATCCTTTCTGTTGTTTCCACTATATTTCCTCTTCTTTCGTCCCATATGCTCATCCTCCCGTTTATTTTTATTTTTAAGTAACCCACTTGCACTTGGTTATGTTTCTTCCTTTCCTGCTCTGCTATCGTTTCAATCCATTCCTGTACTTCTATTTCTCTAGGTGTTCTCTCTTCTTCTACTCTTATTCCTATTTTTTCAAAGTTCGCCACTTGCTCCATAAATTCAATTTTTTCTCTAAAGTGTTCGAAGGTCAGTAGTAATCCTCCCCTTAAGGGTTTCATCTTTTCTATATTGTACTGTTTCCTTGTAGTTCCTAATATTATTCCTTCTATTTCTTCTTTTAATCTTTTTCCCGAAGTCCTTACTCCTCTAATAAATACGTTGTTTTTCCTGCTCCTTCTCTCCTTCATTTCACATTCGTACTCTCCTAATTTCATTGCGTCCGGTTTGTTTACTTTTGGCTCTTGTCCTCCTTCCGCGTTGCTCCTATCCTTAGTTCCTTGCTGATCGTCGTCTGGTCGCTGTGTCTCTTCCCTTTCTTGTTCCTCGTTGCTCTCGTTTTCTGCGCTCTCGTTCTCCTTTTCTTCTTCCTCCCTCCTACATCTACTGTAACTCTTCGGTTTGTTCATTTTCGCCTCTAACCTCTCTTCTTGCTCTCTCATCCTTTCTTTCATTCGTTTTTCCATCTCTGCCAGTTTTTCGTCAAACTTCTCAACTGCCCTTCTCACCGTTTCCTTTGCTTGTTCCACTGCTTGCTCATCTATCCTCCTCTGCTCTTCCATTTTCCTTATTCTTCTTTGTAGTTCCTTTAATTCTTCTCCTTCGCTGTTGCTGCCATCGTCTCTCGTATTCGTGCTCTTGTTGTTGCTCTTTCTCCCTCCTTTCCCATCCTTGTTCTTCTCTATCTTTTCTCCGTTTTCTTCCTTATCGACCTCGCCTGTTTTACCTTCCGGTTCCTGCGCCTCTTCCACGTCTTTCCCGTCATCCTCTTCTTGCTCGGTTTCCTCATCTTCATCGTCGCTGACCTCCCCATTATCCTCTGTCCTCTGCACTATCTCACAATGCTTCTCTTCCTTTTTGTTGCTGACCCTTACGTCAGCCTTTCTCGGTGGTGAACGCGTGATTTTGTCGCTTTTCGCGAACCCAGCTTCGTTGCTCTCCTCTTCTTTCTGCAAGTACGCTCTTATATCAATTTTCTCGTTGCTTTTCTTCTCGTTTTCCTGTTTTTTGGGCCTGCCTCTGCCCCTCCTTAGCGTCCCCTGCTTTCCCGCATCCATATTTGCTGCTTCCATAACCTCACTTTTGCTGCTCCTCTTATTTTCACTCCTCTTCTTCTTATCTTCTCGCTTCCTTCACTTTCTTTTCACTAGGTCGATAAATCCACTCTTTCTCGGTGTGCCACTTCACTTTTCAACTATTTTTGCTCAGTTTTGCCTTATTTTCGCTATTCAGATTGCCAGCTCACGTCTCACATGCGTCTTTCCCGCTCGAGCTCGAGACCGGAAGTCCCGTACAATTAATTATTTATTCTTTTTATTTTTAATTTTCTATTCAATTTGATATTTATATATTTCCAAATATGTTTACTATATTTTATATATTCATCGAAATGAGTCAAGCCATTTTTTATTTTAGCATCTTTTATGAATTTAAAAAAAAATTCTTTGCTTCACTTTTATATTTCGAGTTGCTCTATGCCATATTTCATATAGATCCTCTGTATTTTTATAAGATATAATAATTCCTTTTGTGATTCAAGATTATATAGTCCTGTTAGTTTTGTCCTTTACTTTGTTTTATGCAGGTTATTTTTTATAAAAACAAAAAAAATTTTTTTTAGGTAGTTTTTTTTATTTTTCAACATAATCTCCTTTTAGCTCTATATTTTTCTACGCATCGTTCTAAATTTTTTTGAGCTGTTCAAACAGTGAGATTACGGAAGCTTCCCAAAATCGGCATTTGTTATCATCTTTCCTTCTTCCAAGTAGTCGATGTAGATCATGTCGCGTGCATTCTAAAAGCCCCGTTCACCTTTAAAAGTTCACGGTTTTTACGATTTCATTGTTTCTGTAATGTAGTATACATCCATGTTTCATCGACAGTTATGTATCAATGCAGAAAAGTGCCAAAACAGCCTCAGAGTAATTATTTCCCACTGTGATTGTGTTTATTCTTCACTGTAATGATAAAAACTACTTGATGAATTTGGCTGAAATTTTGACATCACTGTATATAGGAGTAACGCTTGCTGTCGTATTATAAATTATGACGCTTTGCGTGCCATCTCTTATATTGTCTAAAAATTTATTAAACGACTGTCACATTTATTAAAATGTTACAGGCGATTTCTGGTTTTTCTATAGTTGCAATATCATACCAGTTTATTTTTCTTATTATAATTTGTAATTTGTTACTTTTATCGTTTTGTTACCGTTCATATTTGATCTTATTATGTCATTAAATAACATATTGTTAAATATTAAAATATACTTATATTCAATGGTGGTTTCTGTGCATCATTGCCCTATGCCAATAGATCTATATGAAATTCGTCTACTGTAAAATAAATATTTGCAAAAGACTTGATCTTTACATATTCTTACAGATTTTTTAAAACTTCTTATTATAACTACCATACCTGTATACTCTTGTAACTTTAATTCTATTTGTATATCAAATTGTATAATAACTTACTAAATTTAAGCAGTCTATCTCCTCAATTTTGATGTTAGAATCAAAATCCCTGTAGATAAACAAGACTATATCATCATCGTCCGTAGTGTCGTTCGTCACTGCTTGGTTCCGAAAATGTCTGCTGATTATTGTAGTTATGGTGTTTCTGTCTATAAGCTCCGAAGAGCTTATGGACTTTAGTTTTTTTGTTTACACTATTTGACTTAATTTCATTTTTAAACGTTGCACATGATTTCGTGACTTTTAGATAATCTATATAAATTTTATAAGTATCTTAACGAACGTCATTTATTAATATGAGCGTGTTCCTGTCAAAACCGCGTGAAGGATTAACATGCGAGAGAGAGAGAGGGGAGACAGTAGAGTATAGTAAGCTTACATGGTCATGGGGAAAACCCCGTAGACTAAAGATTTGCAGTTTATTTACAACATATTTTAAATAATACAATAATAATAATAGTAATAGCATTTACAGAAACAAATAGATCCGTATCATAAATTTAGTAATTACTAGAAAATATTAATTGCATAACATAGTGGAAGTACAGATTGAATCAATTTAATTCGATTAACAAGTAAGAAAATAATACAAAATGAGATTCAAGCTCAGCTCAATCAAAAGAAATGTGCAATATTGCAATGTTAGCATTATTAGAGAAAAAAATTAGGTGTAGAAACAATTATTAAGAAAGGAGAGTTTGCGAGCATACCTTTACAACTAACTTAAAAACAGTCATTCTAAAATGGCTTGTAAGTCGGTGAATTTTGCGAGATTCTTGTCTTCGTCATAATTACTTTTGATTGGAAAAAAATCTCGAGGTAGAACTAAGTGACTCCAGAAATTTGATTTCCTGTCCTCTTTTTTCTCTTCCTTAAAACTAAAGACAGATCACGGGATGGAATTTTTGGTAGGAGTAGAAATTCAAGGTGAGGAGCAGAAGATGGGAATGTATGAGAGATGAAAGATAATAAATTAATGAGAAGGTAACATAGTCATAGAGTTAGATTAAATGGGGGATATTAAATTTGAGGTAATGACCAGGGATGTGAAGATATTTTACGATAAAAATAAAAGCACTGACATTAAAAGGGAGAGAGACAGATGGCAAGAGAGAGAAAGCACCAGAGTTAGAGTGTTTATTGAAATTATCTCTGTGAGTAAAACCTTCACGTTTGATCGAACTTGGCGAGCTTTTTTCGGTCTTGGCTCATGCGGCAGGTTCCATTGGGATGATTGAGCTTTGATTTCCACATCATAACCATAAACCCATGATTCATCACCAGTTATGATCCTCTGGAGCACATTTGGGTCGTCACGAACCGAGTCCAATATCTCCTGAGCAAGGTTAACGCGATGCTATTTTTGGTCGAAATTGAGCAGTTTTTGCACGAATTTCGCGGCGATCCGACTAATGCCCAAATCATCGGTTAAATGGAATTAGCCAATCGATGTGTTTAGATCCTCAGAAACTTCTCTAACGGTGATTCGACAATTGGCCAATACTATTTTTTCACTTTATCAATGTTTTCGTTCGTTGTTGACGTGCTGGGGCGTCAGGCACGTTGTTCGTCGTTCACATCTTCTTGGCCCTTTGAAAACATTTTGTACCATCGATAAACGTTGCTTTGGTCGAAGGTAGCTTCACCATGTGTCACAGTCAATATTTGGAATGCGTCCGCGCACTTTATTTTGTTTTTCATACAAAATTTGATACAGATTCTTTGATCCATTTTTTAGAATAGGCAAAATTCGAAAACAAGCAAAAACACATCCAAGCAAAACAGCTGTCAAAAATTAACTAAACATTCAAATTGATCGACCTTGTCAGTATAAGTAAGGGACATGAATACCAACATAATTATGGCGATTGAGTTGTCCATTACTATGAAAGGTAGCTTCGTCTGAAAACATTACGTATCTGAAAAATTTAGGATCTTCACGAATCCTGGCTTGTGCCCAATTACAGAATTCGAGTCTGCGACGGAGATCATCTGGCATCAAAGCTTGAGTCAAAGTTATGTGATACGGATGAAATTTATGAAGCCGCAAAATTCTACCAGCTGTTGTTCTTGGGATTCCAGTACTTCTCTGAATTTCACGTAAAGAGATATGATGATCCAAATCAACCATTGCCAAAAGAACGAGAATTCGTGGATCATCGTTGTTCTGTCTCATAATGCGACGACAATTTCTGCGTATTTGTTGTTGTCGTCTCTCTCTTCGTTCAATAATTCGGATTCTACGTGGTTTGGGTATCGAAGCCTCCCTGGGTAATTTTGACGGTAATATCTTGCTACAGCACCATATCGACCTTGACATGCCCCGAGAGAAAACAGAATGTTAACGATTTCGTTTTTCGAATAATCTGGCATACAGTGCCGCTCACGCACTTTTACCCCCCCACGGGCAAAATCAGTCTAACTTCAAAGTTTTATATCTCTGGTAGAAATTAACGTACAGAGACGCGCGTGGGTGCGTTTGAAAGGTCTTTCGGAGAGCTTTCAAATGATATGACTCACGGTTGCCATCGATTGTTTTTTTAAATTTTGCAACAATTATGCAAAATTGAAAATTCTGAAATTTTTTTATTATTTTTGACAATTAGCCAATTTTGGAAAAATAAATCGTACGAAAATTTGAAGTACACCATTTTTTAGCTATTATCAAGCCCTATCTGAATCACTCATCAAAAATTTATTTTCGTCAAATATGACGCGCGCACGGGCATTTTTTCCTGGAAGTGACAGTTTTTTTCAACATTTTTTATCTCCGTCAAATTGTAACAATCGAAAAAAATTTATAGGAGAAAAAATGTTTGTTTTTTCACGTAGAATACTGCAATAATTTTTTTTTTGGTTTTTCGAAAAATTTTTTTTTTCGGTTTAAATTATTTTTCAAGGTCGAAAAAAAAAAGATTTTTTTTTATGTAATTTACGATACTTGTTATGTAGTATTATTGAATGGGTGGAAAAAAATTTTTTTTTGTGGTTTCTCATCTTTTTAGCGTACCGATGTGAGAAAAAAAAATTGAAAAAAACCGAAAAAAAAAATTTTTCGAAAAACCAAAAAAAAAATTATTGCAGTATTCTACGTGAAAAAACAAACATTTTTTCTCCTATAAATTTTTTTCGATTGTTACAATTTGACGGAGATAAAAAATGTTGAAAAAAACTGTCACTTCCAGGAAAAAATGCCCGTGCGCGCGTCATATTTGACGAAAATAAATTTTTGATGAGTGATTCAGATAGGGCTTGGTAATAGCTAAAAAATGGTGTACTTCAAATTTTCGTACGATTTTTTTTCCAAAATTGGCTAATTGTCAAAAATAATAAAAAAATTTCAGAATTTTCAATTTTGCATAATTGTTGCAAAATTCAAAAAAACAATCGATGGCAACCGTGAGTCATATCATTTGAAAGCTCTCCGAAAGACCTTTCAAACGCACCCACGCGCGTCTCTGTACGTTAATTTCTACCAGAGATATAAAACTTTGAAGTTAGACTGATTTTGCCCGTGGGGGGGGGGGGGGGGGTAAAAGTGCGTGAGCGGCACTGTATTTGGCTCTTTTGAGTCGCTAGACACTACGAATTTTTCACG